GCAGAGAGCGGCCGCAGCTCCCTCCCGCCCCCCGCCAGACACGCCTCCCCGCACGCCCACCTGTCTGGCTCCCTTAACGGCAATAGTGCTGAGAGCGGCCGCAGCTCCCTCAATCCCGCCCGCCAGGCACGCCTCCCCGCACGCCCACCTGTCTTGCTCACTGGACGACAATAATGCTGAGAGCGGCCGCAGCTCCTTCCCGCACGCCCACCCGCACGCCCACCCGCACGCACGAGCGGAGATCGGAGAGCGGACAGCTGCAGCCAGGTACACATAAGACATCCCCCGAAAATAAGACCTAGTGTCTTTTTTCGTGGAAAAAAATATATAAGACACTGTCTTATTTTCGGGGAAACACGGTATGCTATGTTCTCTTGGTCATTGGGTCTGGAAGTGAGCGTAAATCTACTAAATGGGGATGCAGGTGTTTGCACTAAAAACCTGAGAGGATCTAACATTTATTAAAAACACAAAATGAACCAGTCAAAACAATAATACATAAATTATAGAAGGCGGAGATGGCCGGTATTCAAAATCATGAATATTTCAAGGTAAAACGTTTTCTAGGAACAAATTTCTATGGGCGGGAGTGCTGAAATCAGGGACAGTATCGGCCCCTCTCTTGGCTTGTCTGTGTATCCTACGATATAATAAACATTGCACAATGGCACATATAGAAAAGTCAGCACATAAATGTTTTATTGGCACAGCAAATGTAATACAATTCATTAAATCAATGACAGCTAAACTAAGAGAACAGAGAAGGGGCGTTCATGGGATTCCGGACTCATACTCACTATGAGGAACAGCCAAAGAGCTCCAGATTATCAGACAGTGTGAAATAGTCATCACATAACTTCTCATTCTTTGGATCCTGGCATTCTTTGTTGTTCGGCCACCACTCAATCCAAATTTCTTTCCCAATGATGTATACATAACTAAAGAGAAGTTTAGAGACACTTTTAAGATTTGTAAGCCAGCGTTATGCTTATTTAAACTGTATACTATTAAACAGCACTGTGCACTTACCTTTAACCCCTTCACGACCCTTAACCCCTTCACGACCCTTCACGTACAGTGTACGTCGAGGTTTGACCTCGGCCTGATTGACCCTGAATTCTGGATTGTCCCAGTTCTGCTACAGAACCAGCCTTCAACTTGCACGGTATAACACCACTGGCATCCTTGCCACTCGTTATCTGCCAGGTCTCTGTCTCCATCTCCAGAGTCCTCAGGACACGAGGTGCAAGGGAAGCCTCCTCACACAGTCAGTCTCAAACCAGGTACGTGACAGGCCCGTTCCTGTTCCAACATGACTGCACACCAGTGCACAAAGCAAGGTCCATAAAGACATGGATGGGGGAGTTTGGGGTGGAGGAACTTGACTGGCCTGCACAGAGTCCTGACCTCAACCTGATAGAACAACTTTGGGATGAATTAGAGCGGAAACTGCGAGCCCGGCCTTCTCCTCCAACATCAGTAACTGACCTCACAAATGGTCCAACATAGACACACTCCTAAACCTTTGTGCAGTTCTTGGCTGTGTTCAAAAATGCCTAAAAGTAGCCCTTGCTGTTGCCTTTTACCTTGTGACTTGGTATTATTATTATCAGTGGTGGAACTACCAGGGTCGCAGAGGTCGCAGCCGCGACCGGGCCCGGGAGTTCCACCACTTGGAGGGGACCTAGGACAGGAGGAAGGGGCCCCTGGTAACCGCTGATTACCAGGATATTTAATATCCCGGTAACCGCTAATGTCAGTACCGGGACCTCTTCCTCCTGTCCCGGGCCCTACGTGCTTCACGCTGCGCCCCTCACCTTGTTCGGGGAGCAGTGTGAAGTATGATCCAGCTGGCAGCCAATGAGTGGGAAGAGGGTTATCCCCACCCCCTCATCACACAGAACGCTGCCGAATAGAGAGCTGCATCGGTAAGAGAGGCCTGCTGCGGACACGAAGGGGGAGCTATAGGGAGCTGGGACTATGAAGGGGACATGGAAGAGGAGAGTGTGGGGTCTGGGAGTGGAAAGCTGGGGACATGGAGGGGGAGATAATGGGGAGCGGGAGACATGGAAGAGGAGAGTGTGGGGTCTGGGAGTGGAAAGCTGGGGACATGGAGGGGGAGATAATGGGGAGCGGGAGACATGGAAGAGGAGAGTGTGGGGTCTGGGAGTGGAAAGCTGGGGACATGGAGGGGGAGATAATGGGGAGCGGGAGACATGGAAGAGGAGAGTGTGGGGTCTGGGAGTGGAAAGCTGGGGACATAGAGGGAGAGATAATGGGGAGCTGGAGGCATGGAAGAGGAGAGTGTGGGGTCCGGGAGCGGAAAGCTGGACTTCATGGATTCTTGCATCGGGGTCCTGAGGTCACTAGTTACACCTCTGATTATTATTATACAGGATGTATATAGCACCAACAGTTTGTGCAGCACTCTACAATATAAGGAAGACATTACAATCACAATACAATTCAAGACAAGATGGTAAGGAGGGCCCTGATGTACAAAGTTACAATGATGCAATTTGATCCCCGGGGGAGAGGAGATTGAGGAAACGTTTCCTCCTGCCTCCAACAGTTTTGGTCACCAATCCAGATGTCCTTGGTTTTACTACAAGAATCCGATAAACAAATAGCTGTAAACAATTGCTAAGCAAAGGGGTTTGGGGGGAGAGGGTGGTGGTTAGAGTGTAAGCTCCTCTGGGCACTGATGTGAAAAATGTTACATGAACTGTTTGTGCTATATAATTGAAACTAGGGATGCACAGATACTTTTCGAGTACCAGTGCCGATACTTGGCATTTTCATGAGAACTATCAGGGTTGCAGCGGTTGAAGCTATGTCTGGGCTCTGGCGCTCCACCACTGTCCTGAAATCATTAGTCTGTATTGTTTTAGAAAAACTGTCACATGACAATAAACAAAAATGTATCAGTACTCGTACTCGTAAGTACTCGGCAAGTACCAGTACTCGTACTCGCAAAACTGGTATCTGTGCATCACTTTATTTATATTTATAAAAACGAAATCGTACAATAAAACAGAGATGTACAAATCCCAGGAGCTCCGAGTGCTCCTTACACATGACAGCTGCCTCCTAATTTTTGAATTTTTCTCTAGTCTAGTCTTGGAGCTCAAAAGTATCGGTACATGTACTCGTACTTGTACCGAGTACTGAACTTGGTATCTGTGCAACCCTAAATTGAAACACATTAAACCCAATCAGTAAAACTTCCTATAACCTCCTTTGCGTTACTTACAGTAATATGAAAAAATAAGTACACCTCATGGAAATTGTTAAATTTCTCAACACACCTGAACAAGCAAACATTGGATTTGATTCAAATAGTGCCTACAGATAAAGAAGATCTACTATAATCATTTCAAGGATGATCTACTAAATCATCACTTTATAGATCACTGGTTCGGCCTCGTCTGGAGTATGCGGTTCAGTTTTGGTCACCGATCCACAGAAAGGATGTCCTGGAGCTGGAGAGAGTCCAGAGAAGGGCAACTAAACTAATTAAAGGGCTGGAGGACCAAAGCTACGAGGCAAGGTTACTAAAATTAAACTTGCTCATGCTGGAAGTGAAGAGATTAAGAGGGGACATGATTTTAATGTACAAAATGTTTGTTGGTGATGGCAACATCAGCAATAAACGTTTTGCAGTAAACTCCCTAACAAGGACTAGAGGCCACCACCCTAAAATTGGTGGAGAAAAGATTTAACCACAAAGGTTGTAGGGGCTTCTTTTCAAAGCTGCTACATTTTGGAACTCTAGCACAAGCAGTGGTATCAGCAGAGAGTATTGAATGATTAAAAAATCAATTAGATACCTTCCTCAGAGACCGCAACATACAGGGGTACAGGTACTCTTAAAAACTAACACACAATGACTAGTGTACACACACGCACACCCAACTCACACACAAAGGTTGAATTTGATGGACCTGTGTCTTTTTTTCAACCTCAAATACTATGTAACTATGATGGCATCGTCTCAGCCTAGAAAAGGTCACTTGGCTGGAGTGCAAAGACTGCTATTTAAAAGAGAACTATGATTTTCCCCATAGTTTTCTTAAGGGTCACGAGATGACATAAACTAGCATCCTCCCGTGACCCAAAGCTCAGTATATCACGAGCTACAGCTCGCAGTTTACTGAGACTGCCGCAGCTGGGACAGATCCCGACATTTCTGTCGAGATCCAGCTGGATCTGCCTATCTAGAGGCAGAGCCAGCTGTACCCACCCCTTCCATTCCTCTTGTCAGCGCTGGAGGATCGGCGAGGGGTGGGGGAAGAATCCCTGCAGGGAGCTGTGAGTGACAGTCATGGCTCTCCAGGGACATGATCAAGAAGTGAGCGAGCGATCGTATGTGTTCGCTCACTTCCCGATCTATTGAGCCGACGTGTGACAGTTACATTGTCACATGTCGGCTCAAACTATGAGGTTGAGTGATGTTCACTCACCTCATAGTTCTCCTTTGATAATAAACTGTGGAGCTTTCATTAAAAAAAGTTCTACTGTTGCATATTGTGTAATAGAAGGTGTTTATTTTTGCAGACTGGTAAAGTTACAGACATGTCCACTTTCAGTTAAGCCTAGCATGACATGTCCCTGCAATTATATTAACACTTCCTATTACTTCCAACTTTAGAGCAGTGACCCTAGAGGACCATCCTGGATACAACTGTTTGGTTCTGGAGGACACCTTGACCTTTCACACCTCTGCCACCCCAAGAGGTTGTCTGGGAATTTGAACTTAGATGGAACTTACTATTACATTGTATATTATATACACTTCTTAACAATAATAAGTTAAAAAGCAAAATCATTGTTGGAAGTTGTAAAATGTTAAGCAGACCAGTGGCCAGTGTACACTGAAACACACTCAACAGCTAGCATAAAATGTTTTATTGACATAGAAAATGTAACAAGATTTTATTAACACATTGAAGACCGTCAATTGAGGAACGGGAAAGAGAGGTCATTGGATTTCCAGGTTCACTTTATGATGGACAGCCATTAATCTCCAGATTTTCAGCAAGGATTGCAAAGTCATCACATAGCTTCTCATTAGCTCGGTTCTGGCATTCTCTGTTGTTTGGCCACCATTCGATCCATGTGTCTTTCCCGATAATGTAGGAGTATCTATAGAGAACGATAGAAAAATATTCAACAAGTTATACTAATTAAAGGTCAACTCCACACCCAAAACTGACAAATAATACATTATGGGGACTTTGAAGCAGTGCTGTATCTCCACCGGAAATTCGCAACTGCACCCAAATGCAATAGCCATCTCAAAGACAAATGATGATGTTATGTAACCCTGATAGAGACCCCATAATGCAGAACAAATGGGAACCTCGGCTTATATTCGGGACGGCTTATACTCGAGTATATACAGTAGCTGCAAATGGCTGATGTCATTATTGTGTCCTTGTATTAAAAAGGGAATGTACTTTAGAGACAAAGCAATAATTTTGCCACTTTATAGAGCGCTGGTTCGGCCTCATCTGGAGTATGCGGTTCAGTTTTGGTCACCAATCCCATGCTGCTGCCTTTCACCTTGTGACTGGGTACAAAGTTACAATGATGCAATTTGATCCCTGGGGGAGAGGAGATTGAGGAAACTCTTCCTCTTGCCTCAAACAGTTTTGGTCACCAATCCACAGAAGGGATGTCCTGGAGCTGGAGAGAGTCCAGAGAAGGGCAACTAAACTAATTAAGGGGCTGGAGGACCTAAGCTATGAGGCAAGGTTGCTAGATTCAGACTTGTTCAAGTGAGGAGATTAAGGGGGGACATGATTTTAATGTAGAAAATGTTTAATGGTGATGGCAACATAGGCACTAAACTTTTTACATGTAAACTCCCTAACAATGACTAGAGGCCACCACCTAAAAATGTGGAGTTAAGATTTAACCACAAAGGGCATAGAGGATTCGTTACTGTCAGAGTGGTTACATTTTGGAACTCTCTGCCACAAGCAGTGGTATCAGCAGAGAGTATTGAATCATTCAAAAAAATCAGAGACACCTTTAGACACCTTCATCAGAGACTGTAACATACAGGGGTACTCTTAAAACCTAGGATCACACAGGGACTCACATACACATACGCACCTACTACACACACACATAAAGGTTGAACTTGATGGACCTGTGTCTTCATTCAACCTCAAATACTATTTAAACATGGAGTGAAACATAAATGCAAAGCAGTATATGCAGCTGTGCTCTCCAAGAAACAGATGAAGGCAACGAGTATGTGAACTCACTGCCATCCTCTAATTTAAGCAGGAGATCACACAAAGGAAGCACCGCACCTCCATGGCTCAGGAAAAAAATCAAGTGGACTGTTTGGAAATCTTTGCCCATATTTGACTATTCTGTCTGTTTTCTCATTTCTCTGGCCATCTTAAAACCTAAAATAAATGAGGAAGAAATAGAATTGTCTTCTACACTGCCAAGGAAGGGACCCTATCCGGCCCATTGTCCTCAGCCAGCCAAAGCCTAAAAACCAATAACAATAAGACAAAATCGAATTAGGAAATATGTTGGCCAATGTTAGGAAACACGGCATATCTGCTAGGAGGCAGAATGTTTAATTATGAGGTTTTATCAAAGATTCCTGATTCATTCTGTAAAAAATATATATACTTTTCTCAGATCCACATCCACAGATCCCAAGATGCTTGCGGAAACCAAATTATTTCTAATAGTGCTTTACTATGAGTGTTTGTGGATGAAGGAACTCACCCAGACGGCTGGTCCCAAAGGTCACCACCGATTCCCCAAATCAGGTACTCCCGTCCTTGCTTCAAATCCAAGGATTTACGGCATTTAATGTGACTGATGAAGTTCCTTTGATTGCCCTGAACGCGCTCATCTGTACCTGTTGTAAAAATTTTTTTTAAAAAAATGGGAGAATAAGGAGGAGTATAAAGCGTATTAAAATAAAGATTATTACACAAGCTATTCAGTGCATATAAACATTTAAAATGATCAGTTTTCTTTAATACAGGGTTCTCATTGTCAAGTGCTAATTCCTGGTTAGGGTGACTTGTGGTAACCAAGCAAAACCAATTATGCTCTTTTCTTGGGACTTTAGCGTAATAAATTCTGACCAATTGCCACGAGTTACCACATATAAAAGAGAGCTCTTTATTGTTTACAGCCACATGCCATCACAACTGACTGACTTCCATCATACAAGTTTCCATCAACTTCCACAGGAGAGGAGGGGCCTATCATATGGTAGGAGCGAGGGGGCTGTGCTTTGGAATTGACTCTTCCTGAGGGCCGGTTCACACCACAAAGAGTGCATTCCAGAGCGTTTGGCCTCTGGAACGCAACCTGGTCGGCTCCCTGTGTTCAGGGGCAGGAGGGGGCGTGGCGGTGCATTGAAGTTAATGGTCCCTGCAATGTGATCGCCTGCACTCGAACGCGTGGCACATTAGTGCCTGTGTTCCGGTCCTGTACGATCTGCAAAAAATGCTGCATGCACTATTTTTGCAGCTCGCACTGGACTGCGTGCGATCTCACTGCGGCCGAGGGGCGTGACTGTGGTGCCACTGACGTAAATGCACCGCCACTCCCCCTCCCGCCCCTGAACGCAGGGACCCGGCCGGGTTGCGTTCCAGAGGCTGTATGCTCTGGAACACACACTTTGTAGCGTGAAGAAGTTACTTTACAAGGAAGTTCTACTGGTGGACATTCTTCTGGTCTCACAGCCAAAGATTTTTTTAGTTTTGGAAGGAGTGTGGGAATGTTAGAACATCTGTTGGGTTTTTATTCTTGTCTACGGTCCCGTTATACAGACTCACTGGAGTTGATTTACGAAAGACAAAATAGACTATTCACTTTACAAGGGAATTTTCCAGTTGCAAGGAAATGCTCCCTTAATGAATGAGGTGAAGCTTTGTTGACTTCCATCATCCAATCACGTGCAAGCAAAGATACTGTTCTTTTCATTTTCCTTGCACATGATTGGGTATACTTTCCAAAGTGAATTTTCAACACGTTCACTAAGCTAAGGGTTAACTTCCTTCCTTAATCTCCTTGCAAAGTGAGCCTTCTGATGACCATTATCAATGGAACAGAAAGCAATGGGAACTCCAAGAAGTTACAGTTGTCACAGCAATAGAGGGATAATCATCTAATGGGAAATCTAATTCTGGTGACAGCTGTCTAAGGGGAGTATGTCCTCCCGCATGAATAATACGTCTTACAGGGGTTGTATACATTCCCTACTCTGTCCCCCCCAAAAAACTGGCTTAAGGGTGAATTTATAAAATAATTTGCAGAGCCATTCATCCTGAGAGAATGCATGTGCATTCGGTCTGTACGAATGGAGGCAAAAACAAATGTTAGTAATATATTTTCTTTTCAGGTTGAATGTAATGTCAGGACAATACTGCATTATGGCCACTAGATGGAGCCAAGGATCACAGGAAATCACCTGAAAAGAAAATATACTAATAACAGTATTTTTTTTGCTTCCATTTGGACAGAACAAATGTATATGCTGTTTGTTATGGAAGCCTCCATGTCCTGGGCACCTGGAGGAAACTGAAGGTCAGCCTCCGCCCTATCGACTATGGCCCTTGGCCTAGAAAGGGATTCTGTTTTTGGGAGCTGGGTACAAGGAAGCCATCTTAGGATCCATGTTTCCCAAACCCTATCACCCAGTTCTGAACTGGCTGTGACATTTGGAATGCAGCAGCACACAAGGGGGTAACTCTGGACCTGAACTCCTATTTACATCATTAAAGTCCATTTGTGCGATTGTGTTAACAATAGGATTAACATAACTCTGACACTAGAGGGGGATATTCACAAAGCTAGCCGAAGGCTCTAGCCCAGGGGTAGCAAACCGCCGGCCCTCCAGCTGTGGTGGAACTACAAATCCCATGATGCACCTCTCTCCGGGAGTCATGTCTGTGGCAGTGAGAATCTTCCAATGCCTCATGGGATTTGTAGTTCCGCCACAGCTGGAGGGCCGGAGGTTTGCTACCCTTGCTCTAGCCGTAGCTTTGGCTGATCCTTCGGGCTAGCTTCGGCCACCGGAGCCCTTCGGTTCAGTTGAACCGAAGGGCTGCTGTACGAGCTATTCACTAAAGCCCTACAGCTCCCGAAGGCGGCCGAGCGGCTCAGCTGAGCCGAAGGCATATGCTTTGGATCGTCTGAGCCGACGTGACACCGGAAGCGGGGCGAACACCTCGCAAATGCCAGCTGGAGCGGAGCCAGCCGTGACCTCACAGTTGCAATTCGCCCAGTTGCAATGACAGATCAGCGTCCCCGGGTTACCTGGGGACGCTAAACTGTTGTTAAATAATGGCAACTGGGCGGAGCTGACTGTGACTTCACTACTAGCTCCGCCCAACTGTTTTTTTTTTCATTTAACATTTATTTTTTTCTACTTTTTTTGACTGATTTTCTATTCTGCTCAGTACCACGGAAGTACCGAGCAGAATAGCAGAGCTAAATGCTGCTCGGCGGCATTTGGCTATTCACTCACTGCCGATCTGCCCCTATCCAGATGTAGGATCGGCTGAGTCGAAGTCCTTCTCACTTCGGCTCAGCCGAACATGCAGAGCATGTTCGACTGACCGAAGTGCAGCCGAAGCTAGCCGATGTACGGCTGATTTCAGCCGTGTAAGCCTGAAGTGAATAGCAGAACAGCTAGTAGTGAATAGCCGATCGTCAGCAAAGCAATCCATTTGTAAAACTTTGTATTTTTTTCTTACCTAGCTTGATGACCTTGACTATGGTCATGACGTAATTATCGTAGTTATCATTTGGTTCAACCTTATCCAGTCGCGCCTTGTATACTGTTGAAGAAACGTATCAGCATCAGCAATGAATAAAGAAGCATCGACAACAATAAATAATGATTCGTGTAAACACGGTTCTCACCATAGTCCACTCCTTGTTTACAAGCTCTCTCCATCCTTTCCTCTGCCGTAATTTGACCTTCAAGCTGTTGCTGCAAGAAGCAGTTTGCTGCAAGACAAAATACCTGAGGGTAAACTTTCAGGTAGAGGTGCACCAAAATGGAAATTTCAAAACCGAAACGAAACCCGAAATGAAAAAAAAATTGTCAGATCGAAAATGTTTTTATTTTAATTTTTTCACATTTTTAAAAAATATTTTATTTTTATTTATTTTTTATAAACTAATTGGGGGTCTAAAGAGGCCCCTGATATTTCCCTTTTAAAATAGAAAAAGAGATTGAGGACTCAATCCTCAATCTCTTTTTCTGCAGCCCCCGTTATCAATGAAAAGGGATCCTCTATTCTGAGTGTTCCTGATCATTCAAACATGGGGACAGAGTATGTTTACTCTAACCACAATTATGAATGGACAGGAGGGGATGTAGATCACTTCCCATTCATTCAGAATTGGGGATATAGTAACCATACTCTGTCCTCAATTATGTACAAACACTAAGCGATCACTGATCACCGACTGCCTGTCCCCGCTCTCCTCTCTGACACGCTGTCACAGGAGGCTGAGCAAGCGGTGCAGGGAGGAGAGCTCAGCCTCCTGTGACAGCGCGGCCAGTCTACGCCCCCACACCGCTCTGCCGGACTGTGATAGGAGGCTGAGCGGTGTGGGAGGAGACGCCGGCCGCTCACAGCTCTCTCCTCCCGCAGCGCTCGACCGGCTGTCACACTTTCTCTCCTCCCCGCTGGGACACAGAGCAGCGCCCAGCAGGGAGGAAAGAAACCAGGGAGGCACAGATGTATCGCCAGGAAAATGGCACTTTCGGCATTTAGCTAAAAGTGCCATTTTCGGCCGATATGTTTCGTTTTACCAGGTGATTGAACACTGGTCAGAGCTGTGAGGACCCTCATGTTACCCCTCCCTCTCCAGGAAATCCTCACTTTTTCAGCAAGCAATAAAGGAGACAAAGGGAGGGTGCTGTGTCCTCTACTGTACTCCAAGAAATGGAATTATCTGGTAAGTCAAAAATCCTATTTTCTTGAGCGTACAGTACGCGACACAGGCAAGCAGAAATGACTGGGATGTCCCAATGCAATGCAGGGGAGGGCAATATGTCTGTGAAGGTTCTCATTTATCCAGGTCATGGTATATCTGTAAAAAAATAAGTCAAGGCAACTGGACTTCCTGTATTTTTCTTGAAGATGTTTCACTGGTCAGCCGACCAGCTTTTTCATTCTGAATTGAGAACGCTGGTCGGGTGACCTGTGAAACGTCTTCAAGGAAAATGCAGAAAGTCCAGTTGCCTTGACTTATTTTTTTACAGATATGAGGGGAGGGCAGCAGCAAAACCGCCACTGACAGGCCCAACAACAGAATAAAGGGAAAGCCAAGTCACATGGCAGCCTTTAGGACCTTACAGCAAAAATTTGCATCAGCAGAGGCGCAAATATCCATTCAGTAGATCTTAGAGAACATGTTACCAGGAGGCCAGGTGGCAGCCTTGCAAATCTGCAATATAGATATGCCTGATGCCAAAAAGCCAGAGAGTCACTGACAGATCTAGTGGAGTGAGCCTACACAAGGAAGGGTGGAGTGCTACCCTTAGGGTTAGTTCACACCATAAGCAGTGCATTCCGGTCCGATTCTGGCCGGAACGCACTGCCTCACATTGCGGCCGGCTCACTTTTTTGCCGGGCTGGAGGGGGTGTGGTGGGCCATTGAAGTGAATGCTGCAAGCTCGCACCGGACCGCACTGCAGGCACAATGTGCCTTGAGATCCTGTGCGGGGCGATCGCATTGCTGCTGGAGGGCATGGCTATGGTGCCATTCACTCCAGCCCGGCAAAAAAGTGAGCCGGACGCAATGCGAGGCAGTGCGCTCCGGCCAGAATTGGACTGGAATGCACTGCTTATGGTAGTGAACTAACCCTAAAGAGAGTAGGCATGCACATTTTAGATTGTTAAAGGTTTGGTTGGCCAAGGAGTGTCTCAAGTGGTGTCCGTCTACAGATTTATAACTGTCTATTGATCATTTTGAGTCAGATTAGTAACAAACCACTCACATCTATGGGTATCAATAGTCATTGTAATGCGTATTCATGGGTTGACCTTTATTTTGTTTAAATGTTTTCATAAATCATGGAAGGGTTGGATAACCAGCAAAGTAGATGTCAGGAACTGGATCTGAACCCAGGGCCTCTGCTGTAGCTGGCAGTGGTTCTACCTGCTGAGCCCCCTTAGAACCTTGGATAGCTCCTTGGCTGATCTCCTGTGTAATCCTCAGGTGAGCCTAGTTTCTGCTGAACTCTGAACTCCGAACTCCTTGCTCCTCCCTTGAACTTCCTATTTAAGTTACGCCTCTGCACTTCCTGTTTGCCAGATTATTGTGCTCCTGCCGATATCTTGCTTCTTTGCTCCTCCTGTGATACAATCCACTCATACTGCTACCCGTGTACCGACCTTTGGCTGCTGATTCATCGACTACTCATCGTCTTCTGCTTCATACCTAATACCTTTGGCTACTGACCTCGGCTTGATCTCTGACTACGCTTCTGACTGCTCTTATACTACTACCGTCTGCTTGTGTACCAAACTCGGCCTGTTGACTACACTTCTGCCTGCTGTTTCAGCTACTGAACTCCGAGCCTGATCCAGATCGTGACAGTAGATGATTTAAACACAACCTGCCGAAACTGAATAATCATCATTGGGAAGGCTTTTTTCTATGTTCATAACATGGCTGCTCCATGGTAATAAGGTGACCAGTTTTCTGTAGTCAGGCCTGTATGGCACGGTCTTTCTATTGTGTGTGTTTGTTAACGCTTTTGTGGTCAGTAATTCTTATGCTGCTCTTGCACTTCCATTTTGATCGCCCGATTTTTATGTGGCTTACCTTCAGCACATCGGCATACATCGTCCCTGCAGATCCTCCCCAGTAATTTGCTGCCGTCATCAAAATGGTAGAATTTTGTGCATCGGCTTTCTACAGGAAGAAAACAATTACAATGAGAAACTAGCAGAAGAGATGCAAATAAATATTCTCAATTTCTCATTAAAGTGTACCTAAAGCCCAAACCTTTTTGTTCTTCTTTGACCGAATGGAGAAGTGTTAGCCCCCTTGTACAGGTTTTATTGTCATCTGTATCTCTGTTAGGAGGATTGACCCTCTGTATTTGTCCTGATGGTCACTGGGACTGGAAGTGGTGGGAAATCCAATCCAATCAGTTCTCATCACAACAGCAATAGAGAGTAACACTTGTTGCAGTGACAACTGTCTAGGAGGGGGGTTTCCCCTCACTTTGGAGGGATTTCATTTCACTTCCTGATATGTCTACAGCACAGGAAGGGAAGAGAAATCTCTCCAATGGGGCACACAATCTGGCTTTAGGTACAGTATACTTATAGTATCTGATATTGCTTTGCAAATACCAGTGCTGTTGACCATAGCCCTTAGATGATGGTTAGACATGGAGGAACAATAAGGGCTTATGTACACCGGCTTTTGTTTGATTTCTAACTGCTTTTTTTCCCCATACAAGCTAATGGGTTTGCAAAGCAGCTTGATGCAGCTTAGTGGTCAATGGTGGTCAAATGTAGGTAAAAGATACCTGTGAATGAATTCAGATAGAACTTAGAAGTATCTGTTACAGCTTTCTCATCAGCTTTTACAGTCTCTGAAACTGATTTCATAGCACTTGTTAGAAGACTTTCTGGCTGGTTTTGTAATTATACTGCGCTGCATGTTTCCACACTACACTACAAAGGCAGGAGATTATACACTACGGCGTCAGGACTTTTCTCATGCCCACACACCTAGACTAAAGATAAGAATGTCTAAAAATCAATATACGTTTTGTTTGCAACTGCACTATCTGCATATAAATAAAGTTGGCCTAAAGTTATGAGGATTCGGTAGGTTCTGATGAATCCAAATGAAATGCTGTAGAGCTGAATCCTACAAAGCTTTTGACTACGGAGATGGAAGGTACATCTTATTAGAGGCTGTGGGCTCAATGGGTTTAAGGTGAGCAGAAGGGATATTAATGAGCAGTTTGGGAATCTCAGTGTGAATGATGTTGTTGGTGAACCTTGTGTTGCTTGGGCTGATATACCGTGGTTTCATTCACACCTAAGAGCTTTGTTTTGATGTATTATGGCACACAATAACATGCCTTGTGTTAGGAGAGAGCATTTATTACTAATGGGTCGCCAATGCACCACAACGGATGAAAAAACCTTCATGATCCTTTTTTTACCAACACAGCACACTACGAAGCATGATAGAATCTCCCGGCTCCGTCCCCCCTCCAACTCCGTCCAATTCCCCTGGCTCTGTCCTCCCCCCACCGCCCCCACC